TCAGGCACGCGATGCTGCTGGACCGCTTGACGAGGCGGAACCCCCCGTTGCCGCCGTACTGGGGCATGGCAGAGGAGCTGGAAACACCCCTGGCTGGCTAACGACCCCTGGCCCGCCAACAACAAGCGGGAGGGCGGGAGAGAGGAAAGGATGGAGGGAGAGGTTGAGAGAGAAGGGATGGAGGAGGGAGGTGATGGAGGAGAGAAGGAGGGAGGAGGAGGGACAGGGAGGAGGAAGAAGGGAGGGAGAAAGAGGGAGGAAGAGGAGCAGGAGGAGGAAGGAGGAACAGGAGGAGAAAGAGGAGGAGGAAGAGGGAGACGGAGGTAGGAAAGGAGAAGGAGGTTCGAGGGAGGGAGGGAGAAACAAGGAAGAAGAAGAGGAGGGAAGAGGGTCCCGATGGCTCCCCCAGCTTGCCTGAGGGGGTCTAGGGTGATTCCGGCCCCTCGATGTTGTGGAGATCGCTGTGCCAGGGGGCACCCGAGTAGTCGTAGTCGGCATACTTGTCGATGCAGCCGTTGCCCTTCAGGACAATGCTGTCGTCACCAAAGATGAGCACGTGCTCCATGGCCTCTGGGATCATAGGAGGAGCAGGGAAGGAGGGAGGATGAGGAAGACGAGGGAGGATGAGACGGGAGGTGAAGAGAAAGAGGGCGTAGGAGAAAAGGGGAGGAAGTCCTTCCGCGGGGTTCAACCGCCATGGGTGACCACGCAGGAGAGGAGGAAGGAAGAGGGGAATCACGAGGAGGAGGAAAGGAGGAGAAGGAGGAGGAAAGAAAGGGAGTAGGAGGGAAAGGGAGGGGATGGAGGAGGGAGGGGAGGAGGAGGAGGAGGGAGGAGGAGGAGGAGAGGAGGAGGAGGAGGAGGAGGAGGAGCAGGAGAGACCAAAGCAACCCAGCATGCGCCACGGATGCTGCAACACACCCTCCTGTCCCAAGACCCCTCCCAATAAGTCCCCAGCAGTATGCCCTTCCACTGCGTGAAACGCCCCTTTGAATGATGAGCACCCTGTGGGCCTACCAAGCAGGCGAGACTCCTTGCTGTAACGGATCCGCTCAAAGAAACACAAATAGGTAGACGATAAAGTTCAAGAAAGTGCACAGCAATAACCCCGTTTTGAAAGGGATCTGCACTCGACATGTGCGTTGCGCAACACACGTTCAAAGTTCTTATCATCCGCCACCGTGCCTCTGACCTCCTCCTCCTCCTCCTCCTCCTCCTCCTCCTCCTCCTCCTACAACCTACTCCTACACCTACTCCTACTCCCTCCTCTCCTCCTCCTCCTCCTCCTCCTCTCCTCCTCTTCTCCACCTCCTCCTCCTCCTCCTCTCCTCCTCCTCCGCCTCCTCCTCCTCCTCCTCCTCCTCCTCCTCCTCCGCCTCCTCCTCCTCCTCCTCCTCCTCCTCCTCCTCTTCCTCCTCCCCGTCCTAGGTGTTCGTTTGGATATCGTGGAAGGTCTCCTCGGGAGGCCGTTTCAACGCCTTCCGGGGGCCGTTTTGATGCCTCTTTAGGGGGGCGTCTTGGGGCCGAAGGCCCGAAAAGTCCGTTCGGTTACCCCGTCTGGGCCGCCTCCTGCTGGAGCCGTCTTGGGGGCCTCTTGGGCCGTCTTCGAGGCCTCTTGGGCCGTCTTGGGGCCTTCTTGGGCCCTCCTGGGGCCGTCATGGGGGCCTCTTGGGCCGTCTTGGGGCGATCTTGGAGGCCTCTTGGGCCGCCTTGGAGCGTCGGCAAGCCAACAAAAAAACGAGAACCCCAAAAACCTTCAAAAATCATTGAAAATCAATGATTGCTACATATTTGGGCCCTCTTAGGAGGCCTCGGGGCGTCTTGGAGGCCTCTTGGATCGTCTTGAAAGCATCTCGGGCTGTCTTGGAGCCATCCTGGGCGAAATTGGAGGCCTCTTGATCCCTCTCGAGCCGTCCTTGAGGCCATCTTGGACCGTCTTGGACTATCTTGAGGCCACTGGAGGCCTCTCGGGAAGAATCTTCTGCCATTAGACCTGGCCCGGCACAGAAACGGAAAGAGCGCTTCAGAAACTTGACCGAAATTACTCACACCACCGTTCGTACTGGGAGCCTTGGCGTTCAAAGTTATTTACGTAAACTTTCGTACTGGGAGCCTTGGCGGTCAACCACTTCTCACGCCACTATCCGTACTGAGAGCCTCGCTATTAGGAACTATCTACTTAATAAGAGACTATATTCTTCCAAACACTTACGGACAATCATCGATTTGGGCCTCTTCGTGCCTTCTCGGGGGTCCTTTTGGAGCTCTTGTGGGCAGTCTTGGGGCCTTCTTCGGCAGTCTTGCGACTCTCTTGCGCCGTATTATTTACGTCATGTTTCGTTCAGGGAGCCTTGGCGGTGCAGGACTCGTCACCGCTCGCTCTTGGGAGCCTTGGTGTTCAGAGATTGTTACGTTGCCGCTCGCCCTTGGGAGCATTGGTGTCGAGTTGTTTACGGCACCCTTCGCTCTGCGGAGCCTTGGTCTTATCAGCTTGTTTACGTCACCGTTCGCTGTTCGGAGTCTTGGTGTGAAGAGCTTTTACGTGACCGATCGCCACCGTGCCTAGGTTGTCGGTCTGAAGCTTGTGCGGTGTTCACTGGGATCTCTGGGGAGGCTTCTCGCGGGCCTCTCGGAAGCAGTTTCGAAGCCGCTTGGGGGCCGTGCTGGTGCTTCTTTTGGGCCTCTTGGGGGGCTCTTGGGGCCTCTTGGGGGGCCTCTTGGGGGCCTCTTGGGGGCCTTGTGGGGCTTCTTGGGGGCCTCGTGGGGCCTCCTGGGAGCTCCTTGGGGCGGGGGTGCGGGGACTGGGCTGCATTTGGCCGTCTTGGGGCTCTCTTGGGGGCCTCTTGGGGCCCTCTTGGGGCCGTCTTGGGGCCCTCTTGGGCCGTCTTGGGCGCCTCTTGGGCCGTCTTGGGGCCCTCTTAGGCCGTTTGGGGGGCATCTTGGGGGCCTCTTGGGCCGTCTGAGGGCGGTCTTGGGGGCCTCTTGGGCCGTCGTCAACGCCGTGAAAGCCGAAAAGCCGTATATGCTAAAAATATACGTTTTCCTACGGAAAAATGATATTGGCCTCTTGGGGCCCTCTTGGGACGCCTCTTGGGCGCCCCTTGGGGCGTCTTGGAGGCCTCTTGGGAGGTCTTGGGGCTGTCTTGGGCGGTCTTGGGCTCTCTTGGAGCGCTCAAGCAGCGTTTTCCGAGGATGTCTCGAGCGAAACGCTTTTTTTAAGCCCCAAAGGCCGTCCTACTCGATAAATAACGAGGCGGAGCGGCCATTAACACCCATTCCCTCCCCCTACCCCCCCCCCTCTGCACTCCCCCTTAGGGGCTTCGCCTCACTCGTACCTCGCTCTTTCCGTTACCTGCTTGGCACGGGGACGGAAAGCGCATCTACTTTCAGAGCGCGAGATGTCGCTGGCTTGCCCGTTCGTTCTCTCTAGGGCGTGTTGGTATCTTGGGAAGACACTAGAGCGCGATGAAACACGAATGAAGATTATGATGATACTGTAGGTGATAATGACGACGACATACTGCCCCTTGGGAACATATTGGGCCTCTCCCAGGCCCTCCTTGAGCCGTCGTGTGGCTCTCTTAGGCCGTCTTGGGACCCTTTTGGGCGTCCTCAGGCCCTCTTGGGAGCCTCTCGGGCCGTCATGGCACAATCTCGGGGGGCCATGGAGCTGTATCGGGCCGTTCTTGCCAGAAAAACGAGAAGCTGGAAAACCTCCACAAACCTAAAGACAACAATGATTCATGCGTCGTCCGGCACTTTTGTGGGTCCTCTCAGGGGCCGCTTGGGGTGTCTTTGAGGCCTCTTGGGCTGTACTGAGGCCATCTTGGGCTATCTTGGATCGCTCTTAAGCCGTCCTCGGGCCCGTCTGGGCCTCTCTTACGCCGTCTGGTACCTTAAGCTGGAGATGAGCTTACGCGCTTACGCGGAGCTTACGCGGAGCTTACGCGGAGCTTACGCACATGTTAACAGGGAATTCCATGTTAACAGGCACCTGACCCCGCTCAGGTACCCGTTAACACGGAATTTAGATGGAACTCCATGTTAACGAGGCCCTGAGCCCGCTCGGGCACCCGTTAACAGGGAATTCCGTGCAATTTCCCTGCTAACGGATGCAATTTCCCTGTTAACGGATGCCTGAGTCAGCTCGAGCACCCGCCTTTCCATGTTAAAGGCTCCGTTCACAAGGAAAAGGGCATTAGATCCCTGGGGGACGGGATGCCACCCCCTCAGACTCCCCCTAGCTCCATTCCCTCCGACTAGCGGATCGCACGCTACGCGCGCTTTCCGTCATCTGGGGCTCCAGCTGCCGCCTCCTTCGAACTCCCCCTAGTTGAATCTCTCCCCACCAACGGATCGCACGTTACGCGCGCTCTCCGTCATCCGCCGCCCCCCTCTGGTCTTGCCACAGGGGTGCCTGGCGTACTGGATGCTTGGAGGTTTGTGGTTCCTTGTGAACTCCGCCTGGGGCTTGGGCCGATGCCGCCGGCCACCCAGAAGGCTGCGTTCGAGGTGGCTGAAAAGATGTTTCATGGTCTAGATGGCGCCAAGATGGCCCAAGTTTGCCTCCAAGACGACCAAGATGGCTCTCAAGTTCGCTCATGATGGTCCAGGATGGCCTCCAAGACGGCCCAGGGAGAGTCCAAGATTTCTCCAAGTTCGCCGAGAAAGCCTCCAAGGAGGCCCAAGACGGCCCAACAGGCCCCCAAGATGCCTCCAAGACAGCTACAGATGCCCCCAAAAGGTGCTCCAGGAGGGCACGAAGAAGCACATTGCATTGATGTTCCTTCGATTTTTGATGGATTTGGGTGTTTATATTGTTTCGGCCTTCCGACCGTCCCAAGAGGCCCCCAAGATTCCCCCAAGATGGCCCCAAAGGCCTCCAAAATGTCCTCATGACGGCCCAAGAAGCCTCCAAGACGGCGCCAAGAAAGTCCCAAGACGGGGCCTCCTGGGCCCGTCTTGGGCCGTCTTGGGGCTCATTTGGGCCGTTTGGGGGT